AGGCATTTCCGCCCACAGGACTGCCGCTCACTGGATGTTTTTTTCTTTTTCAGACCATTCTCTGTAAACACTAGAGATGGTTGTGGGTGAAAATCCCAGTAGATCAGCAGTTTGTGAAATACTCAGACCAGCCCGTCTGGTACCAACAACCATGCCACGTTCAAAGTCACTTAAAACCACATTTCTTTCCCATACTGATGCTGGTTTGAACTGCAGCGGATCATCTTGGCCACATGCCTAAATGTATTGATTTAACATTGGCGTTAATGAGCAGTTGGACACCCAATAAAGTGTCCAGTGAGTGTAACTCATAACATTGTTCATTCATGGTAAGCTCAGGATCAAACCACAAGATGGCAGTGTAACACTTTAACGGTCTAAAAGAAAAATGACCTGCCTTCAGTTTTATCCACTTTCATATTAGCCTCGCCTTATTTAAAAGAAATTTGATTGTTTTGTTCGTTTATTTCATGTAAAAATGAATAAAACCAAGGCTAATGTTGAAAGCAGATGAGTAGGTTTTTCAGCTGCAGCTGTGAGATGTGTGGCAGCAGCCTTCCAATCATTTTTGAAGCAGATGGTGCCTGGGGGTGAATAGTAATCGGAGGCTGTGCGTGTGTAGAATTTTTATGTGGTTACGGTGTTTCACAGGGTAAATGCAGGGTGCACGGATTTGTCCTTCAGAAATAAAATATTCAAAGGTTTTGCACATTTTAACTCTAACACTTCGTTAATTTAAGCCCACGTCTTTATGATTTGAGCTGTTTTATTTAAATCAAATTTGGGTTATAGAAGCGCATCTCTCGATTTGTTGGAAGTGATGATTAAATTAGGCCATCCAATAAATAAAAACATCCACACTTTGCTCTCTGAGATGCCTCAGTTTTTGCCACCAGATATCCCCACAAGATTAAAAAACAACTCTTATTAATWGCAAATCGTGGTGCTCTAGCTTTAAGTGGGTTTCCCCTCTTCAAAAAACCATCTCTGGCCGCCCCCTCACCAGTGTGAGCTCCATTTGGAGAAGCGGAAGGGAGATTCCTCAGCCCTTCCAGTCATACGCCCCCTCCCCCCTCTGCTGATGGCACCGTTACGCAGCACCATAATAAACGGAGACGTGACTCTCCGGGGCGAATCCCTGCCTACGTCACTCTGTCCTGTATAAATAGGCTGAGCAGAGACTCGAATCAGACACAAGCGAACGCGCCTTTCTGACAGCGGGAACTTTTCTAAGCAAAGGATTAACCGGATAGCCTTCGTTGGATTTAATCATCAGCACAGAGTAAGTCCCTTAATGGAAGATTTCATTTTCTTACAAAACACTCATTAAATATGTGATCAGATATGTGATTAGATTTAGTCTTATTGGGACGTTTCCCTTTTGTAAATTGAGCCAAAGGTCGCGTATTTACGCACGGCGCGTCTATCCACAGATCCCACATCATCAGCGCGATGACTCTAAACAAGGGTGACAAACTGCGGAACATGGACAAGAGGAGAGGGAGCGTGCCCTTCCCCGTGAACCTGCCCAACCTGCACAGGAGGAGCATGCCCGTGGACGACCGGGACCTGCGCGCCACGACGCCGCAGACCGGACAGACGGACGAGCTGTCCAACCTGCTGCGCTGCGCGTCCTACTCCCCGAGCGAGCAGCACCGGGGCAGCTGCGCGTCCGACTCCTCCGACTCGGTCATCTCCACCGGCAGCGAGGCGGACTCCCAGATTTACAAGGTGGTTCTGCTCGGGGAGCACGGGGTCGGAAAGTCCAGCCTGGCGCGCGTCTTTGGAGGCGTGGAGGACGGCGGTCACGACTGCGATGAAACAGGTGAGGACGGGGGATGAGTCATCCACACACACTCAGGACACAGAAAATCTATGGTGATCATACAAAGGTGTACTGGAATTAGGAAATAATTAAAAATGTAAACTCATGACATTTAAACTATTCAATATTTAGTTTTATTGTAGCAAACAGCATAAACGACACAGGAAACCGTGTAATTTTCTCAGAAATTAAGCTTGATTATAAAATAAAAACCGACTCCTGCATGAAAGGATTTCCACCCACTGACAGTTTCCACGAGGGACCAGTCGTGGCTCAGAAATWAATCAAATATTGTGAAGAAAACACCAGACTATGATCTAATGTCTTGGTTTAGTGATCAGACTCCAACAAAACTCAATGTTGCGAGAGATGAAAGCATGAACGCCACATGAGAGGATCCAGATAAGAGGAGTGTAACACAATCTTTATTCGTCTCCCCCTCAGGAAACACTTACGACAGATCTATTGTTGTGGATGAAGAGGAGGCCTCCATTGTGTTGTACGACATCTGGGAACAGGTGAGAGTTACATATCAATAATGCAGTGTTTTCCCATTAATGGATGGCGCGTTTGGAAAAAAAAGATGGGCCTGAGGCTGGTCATTAAGCTTGGATCTGCTGTTCCTTCCTGTAGGATAACAGCCAGTGGCTGAAGGAGCAGTGCATGAGGATGGGAGATGCTTACATCATCGTGTATTCAGTCACCGACAAATCCAGCTTCGAGAAGGCATCGGAGCTTCGCATTCAGCTTCGTCGAGCCAGGCAGTCAGAGAACATTCCCATCATCCTRGTGGGCAACAAAAGCGACCTGGTGCGGTCCAGAGAGGTGTCTGTCGATGGTAAGTTACCTTTGGGCGACAATGATAGCGTGCATCCAAAAAAAAAAAAAAAAAACAGAACGATAAACTGAAGAGTCTTTCCTCCACGTTTTGTCGGCTTTCAGAGGGAAGCGCGTGCGCCGTGGTGTTCGACTGCAAGTTCATCGAGACGTCCGCCTCCCTGCACCACAACGTGCAGGCCCTGTTCGAGGGCATCGTCCGGCAGATCCGCCTGAGGAAGGACAGCAAAGAGGAGAACGCGCGACGCATGGCCAACTGCAGGCGCCGCGAGAGCATCAGCAAGAAGGCCAAGCGCTTCCTGGGCCGCATGGTCGCGCGCAAAAACAAGAAGATGGCGTTCAGGCAGAAGTCAAAGTCCTGTCACGACCTCACTGTTCTCTGAGCAACACGTGGAACAGAAAGACTGCTCCTTTTTTTTAAATTTGGCCTCTGAAGACCAGATCCTGTGTGTGTTTTAACACTGATTCTAAAGGACTAATAGAATTGTACAGAATAGATTTTTTTTAGGCACAAACCAAAAGCAAAGACCGGATGTTACTAAGGTCATATCACCGTGAGAATCTGCAAGGATTTTCTTTGATTTATCTTCTGCCTTAAACAGTTTTGCCACCAGATAATTATTTTCGTCTAAAAAGATGTATTCTCTTGTTTTTGATGAGCTGCCTATGTTGTGTTGTGCTCCTTTGATTGAAGTGATGTAAATATTAATGCCGAATGTGACGTACATCTCATTTAGGATCACAGGTCACCTGGAGTCATTTTTACTTGAAATGCGGTGCGCAGGTTCGTGCCTTGGCCAAGTTACTGAAGACTACTCAACCCTTATAGGCAAAACCTCTTTTATTCTCTGTTTCAGAACATTGAATTCAGGTTGTGAATGTATGAGTAAAGCAATAAGTTATATTATATTAGTCTTGTGAACTTTGGCATTATTTGAGAACTCTTTGTTTACATGGATTTTTCTTTTTTTTTTCCAATAAAATAATAGATTGAACTCAATGGGTTTTTTTTCTTTGTGATTATTGCAATCATTATCAACGGACTGAATCAGAGAGGAAGCTGTGGTGAAATGCATCCCGGTGATGATTTATTCAACCCTGTCGGTGGAATGCAGCACACTGGTCCTTTGGGTTTTAAGTGGAAAGGAAATGAGGTAGTTAAGCATGTCTCCTCTCCAAGCGTTAACCATTAATCCACCAAAAACAGTACAGGTACGCAATTTTCCACCCGATTTAAACGTCTCGCACACACTCTTCCAGGCAGCACACACATCATTTGGAGAAGGTAAGGCACAGAGAAGCTTTGGTTGCTCACCTGGAAGCTCCTTTTTTTATCATGTTTTCAATTTTMTTGGAGTAAAATAGTCCCTATATATCTTGCAGATGGTAAAAACACGAGTGAAGCATCTGTTTGAAGTTATTTTGAACAGACAGAAACTCATGCATGATGGTTGTCTCTGCTGCCGACTTTAAGATGTTGCTTGGTTTTGCAGTTAATTCTGAAAGAATTTCACGATGGTGAATCAGTAACAGGACAGATGTTTGTGTTGATTGCTGGCTGGTTTACAGGGAGCCATGGCTGAGAGAAAGGCAGCACCGACGCTCATCACGGCACTCATAGTAGGTTTTTCTGTCTGTCGTTTTAGTCCAGCTTCGTTCAGGAATTTAATCCTGAAAAAAAAAAAAATGTTAAAAATGATCTTGTTTTACAGCTGTCAACGTTCCAGACTTTTATGCCGGGCTCTTCGGTAAACGTTAAAATTGGTGTTCCAGAAAACTACGATGGTATTTTCCCATGGTATCTATCCAAGGTAAGGTTGTTGTACTTTGAATAAACAAATGTTTCAGTTTTTTCAGTTTATAACACGTGAGGAATTGTGTAATTATTACCTGCCAACCGAGGCCAAGTGTGTGTGTGTGTGTGTGTGTGTGTGTGTGTGTGTGTGTGTGTGTGTGTGT